TTTATTTTTTTTTTTTTTTTTTTTCCAATTTTTTTTTCAATTTTTTTTTTTTTTTTAGTTTTAGTAAACTATAAAAACACTGCTACATCTAAGATAAAACACTCAATATTGTCTCCACATAATCTAAATAATTAAACTGAACTTGAATACGCTTTATTTGGATTTCAAGCCTGGAAAGACTCGTTGATTCGGTGAATAATATTAAAACACAACATTCTAGAATGAACACATTTACACAAAAGAGGTTCATATACTCTAGTCTAGATGACTGAAAGGTTTGGGAGCATAGAGAATCAGTGTATTACAGCAACATACCAGTGTTGAGATCTGGCAGCTGGCAGCGAGCTGAGTTCACATGACGGTGACATCACTGTCTGGGTCACATGCCTGTTATCTGCTTTTTTCCCTCCGTTTGTTTCTGAGAGAAAAGACATGGAAACGAACAATGGCCTTGTGTTGAAGAAAACCGAACGCAGTGCTTGGCGCAGCAGCGGGCAATGCCGACAATACCCCACTGTTCATTGATCCTAATCATATGGAAATACATACATTGTGTGCGGGACTTGAATTCAGATGTATTATGAAATGTGGGATCCTCTGATGATTGTTTACTCTGTCTTGTTGAAGATGTGTGTCGTGGGGCAGTCGCGGTTAACAGGATGAACACCCTCCAGGTGAAGAATGATAAGAACCTCGTTGTCATGCCAACAAGTATGAGGATGAATAACCGTTAGAGATAATGATGCTTTTGCAAGCGTACACCTACAGCGACAGTAAATTAACAACAAACTTGAGACGACTTTTAAATGACAAACATTAACATTTTTTGAAATAATTATGGAAAGGCCACTTGTAGACTACAGAATATCCTGGTCGTTTTTAATCTAATCAGTGTAAATTCACACACAAGAAATGATTAAAAAAAAGACAAATTCTTTCTGCAGACAATGCCACTTTTATTTGAAACACTGTAAATCAAAGTGCCATTTAAAGGAATAGTTTAAAACCCAAAAATGAAAATTACCCCATTATTTACTCACCCTCAAGCCATCCTAGGTGTTTATGCCTTTCTTCTTTCAGACTAATACAATCGGAGTTATATATATATATATATATATATATATAAAAATGCCAAGCTTTATAATGGCAGTGAATGGGTGCTGAGATTCAATAGTCCAATAGAAGTCCAATAAACTGCATCCATCCATCATAAAAAGTACTCCACACGGCTCCGGGGGGTGGTGAATAAAGGCCTCCTGTAGCGAACTGATGCATTTTTTGTAATAAAAATATCCTTATTTAAAACTTTATAAACAGTGATCTATAGCTTCCACTAACTGTCGTACGCGCGTTCATGAGAGAGTCACGTTCCAGCGGATGACGGAGGACGTAGGCGTAGCGTAAGGTCTGGTGAGAATATGCTAAATATATATGCGAAAACCAAGATTTTGTTTACAGGAGCAAAGGAAGCAAAGTTTCCTTTGTTTAGCAAAGGAAAATCAGTCTCCTCTTGGCTTGTATGGAAATCCTCTGACAATTTTCATTACAAACCCTCGTTTTCTAATTCGTGACCGGTGTTTTGTTTTGCTCTCTGAAGAAAGTCATATACACCTATAGGATGCCTTGAAGGTGAGTAAATCATGGGGTAATTTTCATTTTTGGGTGAACTATCCCTTTAATACTACTGCACAGACGGCATACAGCACCAACAGTACGACACGTTTGAGTTGAATCTATCAGAGGCAGATGATTTCAGAATCAGTGTGCTTCACTGTACTCCAAGCGGTGTGGAATAATTCACAGACGCTGCTGCTGGAGGGTGGAAGTGAAATGCTCCTCTCTAGATTCTAGAGGTCTTACAAGCTGGTCCAATATCAGTGAGAGTCAGTTAATTTTACACACACTTTCTGCATGCTCAGTAAACAACGTCCACTATCCAGGGTTTACTTCAGTTTTTTTCCTGATCAGGTTCAGATCAACAGAAAAACAGTAGTGTGTGTGCTTCTGAAAAGCAGCATCCTTCTCTTTCTCTTTTTTTTTTACTGCACATTGAAAAAGAAAAAGAAAAAACATTTTTGTGTGATTACAAACCCTCGTTTTCTAATTCGTGACCGGTGTTTTGTTTTGCTCTCTCCTCTGCGCTTCAACGTTAAGACACTTCTCACCGGAGCTTATGCTACGTCTATGTCCTCCGTCATCTGCCACAACAGCGTTCTATTGTGAACCCGAGTACGACAGTTAGCGGAAGCTAGAGATCACAGTTTGTAAAGTTTTAAATGTGGATATTTTTCTTACAAAAACGCAACGATTCGCTACAGGAAGCCTTTATTCACCCCCCGGAGCCATGTGAGGCACTTTTTATTATGGATGGATGCAGTTTATTGGACTTCTATCTAGAGCCAGGACATTTTTTAATATAACTCCGATTGTATTAGTCTGAAAGAAGAAAGTCATATACACCTATAGGATGCCTTGAAGGTGAGTAAATCATGGGGTAATTTTCATTTTTGGGTGAACTATCCCTTTAATACTACTGCACAGACGGCATACAGCACCAACAGTACGACACGTTTGAGTTGAATCTATCAGAGGCAGATGATTTCAGAATCAGTGTGCTTCACTGTACTCCAAGCGGTGTGGAATAATTCACAGACGCTGCTGCTGGAGGGTGGAAGTGAAATGCTCCTCTCTAGATTCTAGAGGTCTTACAAGCTGGTCCAATATCAGTGAGAGTCAGTTAATTTTACACACACTTTCTGCATGCTCAGTAAACAACGTCCACTATCCAGGGTTTACTTCAGTTTTTTTCCTGATCAGGTTCAGATCAACAGAAAAACAGTAGTGTGTGTGCTTCTGAAAAGCAGCATCCTTCTCTTTCTCTTTTTTTTTTACTGCACATTGAAAAAGAAAAAGAAAAAACATTTTTGTGTTTCACACTGCACTCTTCATTTGATCAAACAGGAGGGTTCATGGTACAAAAAAGTTCTTCAATGTCAAAAAGGTGAGCAGTACAAAGCAGGACAAATGTAATTGCTAAGAAGACCACTACTTAATTATTTAAAGTCGTGAGAGCACTGCATGTTTTACAAAAATAAAAACTAAAATATAAAAAAATGAGACTTGTTCATTTGCAGTCTCATTGTTAAAAGTAAGCTGCATATTAGTCAATAAATATATATATATAGTCTACATTTATATGTATTTTATAATGATTTAATAAATTACGACAGTGGTATAGCAAGCTTTGGCAAATAGTAATAAAACGGTTAGCGTTCACTCAAAGGGATAGTTCACTCAAAAATGAAAATTCTTTTACTCACCCTCATGCCGTTGCAAATCCACAAGACTTTCTCGTTCATCTTCAAAACACAAATTAAGATATTTTTCTCTATTGATCTCTATTGAAAGTGCAGTGTCAAAGTGTTGGTTGTATGGACTTTCCATGGAGGGACAGAAATCTCTCAGGATTCATTAAAAACATCTTCATTTGTGTTTCGAAGAAAGTTTTATGGGTTTTTGAATTACGTGAGGGTGAGTAATTGATGACCATTTTAATTTTAGGGCAACTATCCCTTTAAAATACATTAAGCTATGCAAGTTCATTATTCAAGAGTTCAGCTTGACTAATATCAAATACCACGTCCCTTTGAAAAATATCTTCTAGACCAGCTAATGAAGAAAAAATGCAGTCATTTGGAGACGAGGAAAAAGTTTTCAGTGTGTCTAACAGCTTATGTTTGATCACTAGCCGTTTGACTAGAGTGAGGCGTTACACAGGAAGCAGATTTTCAACAGGAGCATCTGCGCAGAGAGGGCCTCCATTTCCTCAACTTCCCTTAAATTGCGTAGGCAAATCCCACTTTGACTTGTATGGGACTCTATGAAGGTCTGAGGCACTACAGTGAGAGCGTGCTGAGATGGGGTGAAGGACACAGGTATGAGGGAGCTGCCCGGTCTGCGTTTCCTTCACGGCTCAGGCACATGGGGAGCTCCCACCTCTAGAGGAGTGCCAGGGTGGGGAAGGGTCCCCGTGCTTCCCCTCCACACATCAACCGTTTCATGCGTATCAAAGAACTCATCTGGCTCCTCGGGGGTGAGCGGGGTCTGGGCGCTGGAGCCGGTCTCTGAGCTGCTCTCTCTGAGCTCCAGGAGCACAGGCAGAGAGCCGGGCAGCCCACAGAAGGACTCCGTTGGCGGACTGTCGGCCAAGTGTGAGCAAGGAGCACTGGGCTCCGCAGGGGCCGGACTTGGCGCTTCGTCACAGCAGGGGCTCTCTGTCAGACACTGGCCAGCAGAGTCTGTGCCGTCCACTGCTATTTCACTGGGTCTCTCCAGGATGGGAGATGGTATTGACGGGTGGGGGTCCTCAGAAGGGAGGCTGGTTTCAGTGCTGCTGAGTGCAGATGTGGAGGACACATAGTGGATGTTGTTGTGAGGGGCTGGGTGGATCTCCTCGCTGCTCTGCGGTGTGAGGGTGATCTTCTCACTGAAGCTGAAGCGTGGGGAGGTGTCAGCAGTAGTGGGAGACGAAGGGCCGGCGCTTGACACCGTACTGGAGGGACCACTGCTGTCTGCATGGAGAAATACACACAAACACACATTATTTGGCTCGTTTTGCAATAGAGGTGCCATTTGTGTCTCTCATATATACTGTATGTGTGTGCAAAAAATGACTTTAACAATGAATAGTGCCAACGTTTACTATGTGTTACTACGCATCATGTAACGCATCAACACAAATTCAGTAACTTTACTTTAAAATGTTATTTTTTTCTGTTTTCTATCACAATGAGAATGCCTTTTTTCGTGTTTCAGCCCTGTGTTTTCACAACTTTTTGCTGTACTAGCAAATATGCACATTTTGATTAAAAAAAAAAAGAAAATTAAGATCTATTTATATTTTTGTAGATTACTAAAATACACTATAATGTAATGTCATTTTTAATGAAATACATTTTTAATGAAATGTACTTTAATATATTCGTAATTACAAATTAGTAATGATGAAGTTTTAAGTTGGTACTTTTAAAATATATTAACTTCAAATGTAATATCAAATAACACACTAGTTATAAAAATTATAATCAAGCACTCTACACGTGTATGTTAGTCAACAAATCAAAATAAGTGTACTTCTTTTAAGCCTGACAAAAGATTATTAAAACAATAATTTAAGATATACTTGGATTTGACAGTATTACAAAGTGCACTTTCTTGAACAGTCTTGAAATTGTACTTTTTTTAGGGTAGAATTAAGTAGCCTTTTATTAATATTATTAATATAATTAATGTTATATTATCTGCAAGTACGTATTTTTTTGTTTTTTTTTAAACATACTGTTAAGATTTGAAGAACACTACAAGTGCACATTCAATAATACACTGAAGCGCAACTCTTTTTCACAAGGGCTTCAATACAAGCTATAGCCTCATATTTTTCACCATTTTATCATTGTGTTCAAAATGTCAGCACTGTTTCAATAGCCTTGCATAGTAAACAACTGATAACTGAAAAGTTTGTATAAATATCAACATTTAATTCTCATTCTAAGCACAATCTTGAGCACAAGTACGGTCAACCCCTTTACTGTCAACTTTGTTACTTCGCTGAAGGCAGTAATCATATTCCAACATACACAAACATTTATGAATTTAGCTTGCAATTGCACAATGATATATGCTACCACTTAAACATCATTTGTACATCAGGTCCATCCAACATATATGTAACATGTTAGCACAATGGCTACGTTTTAATGAGTTTTCTCCACATGAAGTAGCTAAGGGCAGCAGTACTCACACCATGGTGGCCGATCAGAACGCTGGCGCAGTGAAACAGAGGAGGACAGCACTCTGTGAGGGATGTAAGAGTCCCCTGTGGGCTGGTTCTGGGAGTCAAACATGGCTGAGAGAGCTACAGGAGGGGAGACAAACACATACAGTTAGGACACAGGTGCATTATTTCAGTATCAAAAGAGCTGCGACTGACCTAACACTGTCCTAAATGTATGCCATGTTAGAGTGGTGCTATGGGCATCACCTCTGGTTGTCCTGGTGTGGGAATCTCCTGCATTCTCACACATAGTCGTCAGGAACTCATTGACTTGTTTGAGTGAGAGTGAGTTGTGGAGGGTCTCGAGGGGGTAGATGGAAGGCACCATGGAGCAGCCTTCAAAACCTGCAGATGAGAGAAGTGATGAGAGAAGACAGTCCTCTATCCAGACGTCAGTATGCACCCAGAGTGACACAACAGTCTATTACCACTGAACCAATGTCAACAGTCATTCCACCTACTGCCAAACCCTTGTTAGTGACAGAACCACAGTCACGGGCGGAAAACATTCAGACACCTTACACGCACACAAACAAACCCACCACATCCTCTTATCATTCATTCAAGACTTATCGTGTATTACATAGGAAATCTAAATCTACATTTAAAAATAAAGACAATTACACAGTTTGGTCGTAATGTCACACTCACACAACTTCAAGTAAAACAAAAAAAGTCCCTTTAATTAGTAGTTAGAGTCTCTATGCACTTCTTTTAGTTGAAAAACCACACTCTTAATGTAGATTAAAGCAACGCATGTAAATTAGGAGGGAGCTGGCAGAGACAATAATAATAAAAACAGGAATGAATGTGAGAACTACACCTGTGGATCATCACGTAATCAGTGCATGAATAGTATAAAAGGAGATATGATTTCATGACAATACATCACTTATGACTATTACTTATGAAAGTGACCCTGGATTCTGGAGAATTTAGTAAAAAATTCAAATAATAACAATGTACATGTATGATTATGTATGAAGTAATAGAGGTTCGATTAATCATTGTGGAAAAAAGTGAAAAGTGAAAACTCACATTTGGAAGAGAGAATTACAGTATTTTATTTATCAAATCCCTGGAAGCCTGTGGCATGCAAATCATGTGCCACTATCATGCAAGTCAGTCATTTCTGATACGTCAGAGAGCCGATGCGACTGTAAGCTGACACAGTTGCAATAAGATGCCACTGGCATGCATCTGCCACACCACACACCCCAACACACAGCAGTGGGAGATCACCCTAATGCTACTCCAAACTCTTCTGTACACACATGTTTAAATCTGTAAACAATCTGTTTATAAATACTGGTCTGAATAGTTTGCATGAGTACCAAACTATCAAACAAGAGTACTTCTTTAATTTATGAATTTATGTTAATTTAAATTAAATCTGACTGGGACCAGTCCCTTTTTAACAAAAGTAATTTACAC